TAAAATAAGACCGAGTTTGGCAGATGACATACCTTCTAATAAAAGAGAGGGTGGGTGGGCGGGGCTAATACCTGCTAAGATAAAACTGATTTTGGCAAATGACGTATCCTCTAAGAAATTTATTTAAATTATTATAAGAAAAGACATTAAAGGGTCTAAAGCACTTTCAAATTCTTTCCAAATAGGAATAACTAGAGCCTCAAGATTGTTTTAAATTTTTCAAAAAAAAAAACGGGGTCAGGTCAAAATTTTTCAAAAATAGAACACCAAAGTCCCCCAAAATTCTTTTAAATAATTTACATAAAAAAATCTCCATGGGCTCCCATATTAATACACCATAGGTACCCAAACACTGCGGTAAGTACACAAGACTTTTTCCCGCCTTCTCTTCTCTTAGAGGGGGTGTCATTTGCCAAAAAACCAATCTTATCTTAGCAGGTATTTACTAGCCCCACCCACCCGCCCTCTCTTTTTTACAGGGTACCTCATCTGCAAAATCAGTTTTACCTTGGCAAGTACTGAGCTGACTTACAAGCACAAGGCAGGAATTTTGAACATCTTCTCTAGTGTTTAGTTGGTTATGCTTTCTTTTGTTGGTTTTGTTTTTGTTTATAATTTATAAATTAATGTCTTCTTATATATATTTTTTTGTATATTTACTAATGAAAAATAACAGCTTGTTTTATTAATAATAATAATGCGCAACGATTAATAACTACTGGTTGTTATGGTGATTATCCTAAAAAAAAATAAAAGCTGGACTTCAGTCACCATCGTTACTAAGAAACCAGAAAATAAGTCGGAAGCAGATTATGGTAAAAACGTATTTATAAAAGTAAAATTGGCAACATTGCAAGCACCTAATGCGTGAATACCTCCGACTAGTAGTCATTAATCGTGATAAGAAAAAACTGATTTTGGCAAATGAGATACTCGATCAGAAAAGAGAGGGTGGGTGGGCGGGGCTAGTATCTGATAAGATAACACTGATTTTGGCAAATCACATATCCTCTAAGAAAAGAGAGGGTGGGTGGGCGGGGCAAGTATCTGCTAAGATAAGACTGATTTTGGCAAATCATATCCTCTAAGAAAATAGATGGTAGGTGGGTGGGGCTAATACCTGCTAAGATAAGAGTGAAAAAAATAGAACACCGAAGTCCCCCAAAATTCTTTTACATAATTTACAAAAAAAATCTCCATGGGCTCCCAAAATAAAACACCAGATTCCTTTAGATTTATCCGAAAATAAAAGAGCATAGGACCTAAAATTTGCTACGAGCATGTTAAACTTACCGGTTGAGAGCGTAGCGAAGAGTTAATCCGTCATTTTCCAGACAACCGGTATATCTTTTTAGATCCTGATAGTTTACAGATTTTGAGAATGCATTGCGCCATGTTGCTTGATATTTAATATAACTACAACTAAGTAACGTTTTAAGTTTATCGTTATGATTTTTTTTCCATTTTAAATGGTAGAGCAAGATCCCAGGGCCCCCAGTCGTTACTTATTTTCTCACAAATAAAATGTATAGGATAAAGTAGTATTAGTATATACCTTGAGTGTATGCATAGCTTGGGCCGACTGCCAATTTACAGGTACCAGGTGATAAAAGTAGGTAGAAACAGTACATGATACTCAAGGAACTATTTCAATAATTTTTGTAAACAGCCAGACCAATCGGAGGGTCCCAACATGCCCCCAGACACACAAGGAGTCGCTTTGTGTATGAGCGCAAGCCGAAGGTCATTATTCGTCCGCTTGTCATTGAGCGGCAGAGAGATATTTGTGGGGATTTTTTCCTTTACTTACCGTCAAAGTAGGGTCATCCCTACGAACGGATGGTTAATTTTTTCTTAATATACAAAGTCTTCTTTTCCCAAGAAGAAACTGAAAACATGTTTAACTATCCTGTTGTTGAAAAAAAACTCTATACAGGGTGTCTCAGAAATAAGTACATTAATTTTAACCAGTAACAGAACTCGTGAAACGGAACAACTTTTTTATCTAGCATTTTTTCGAAAACTCAAGTCGAATTTCGAATTTTCCCACCCATATATTCACGAGCCGTCTATGTTCACTTTAAATAATAACTTAAATAGTAGCAACACTACAACAATGAAGAAGGTACCGTAGCAACCGTTTTGACACTGACAATCATTTTTATGTCAATGCTTTTATTAAACGTTGTCTCTTTAACATTTGTTTGGCACAAATTTCTAATTTATAGACGAAATGTGTTGACGAAATGTGTTGAAATGGCTTTGTTTTCAAATCTGGAATGCACCGATATCATTTTAACGTACGGTGAAGCTCGGGGAAACGGAACTCGCGCCCAAGGAATTTTTTCAGAAAACCTCTCAAATCGTCGTCTGCCAAATGTGCGCAGTTTTAAGAACGTTGCAGCATTTTCGAGAGTACGGATCTTTTAAACCTGCACCTCAGGATCGGGGTAAGTTACGTAGTAATCGAATTGCTAATATTGAAGAGGCTGTTTTGAAGAGTGTCGAAGCTCGACCGGGTACTAGCACGTATCACTGTCTAGTGTGATGTATCGGAGAGTAGTATTTGGAGGATACTCAGAGAACAAATGTACCCCTTTCAGGACCAGAAAGTTCAGTTATTGAAACTAACAGACTTACCACGTAGGCAAAACTTTTGTGAGTGGGTTAAGAGAAAAATAAACGAACAAGCAAATTTTGTATCTCTTACACCATCAACTGATGAGGTCGGTTACACGAGGGAAGGTGTTCAACACCCACATTTGGGCCGATGAAATTCCGTACGCCGTTAGGGAGCAGGATTTTCAATTTCTCTCTAAATGTTTGTCACATTGACAAGATTAGGAAAATACGTATCCTAGTAACTGTTTTTGACCATAAATTATTAATTATAATAATTATTAGTGTCCATGGGTGACTGAGGATCCATGGGCGGGTAACCTTAATTGGGGTGTAACTTTAACAATTTTTAACTTGATAATTAAAAAGTTCTTGACAAAACTCTACTAAGAAAAGTTGTTGAGTTCAATGAGCTCTATAACTGATTACAATTAATGTACTTATTTCTGAGACACCCTGTATATTACAAAAAACAAAGATTAAGCCTCACCCGCCCGCCCCGATCTCAATTGTGATGAATTTCATATGGTAATTTCTTGTAGAGAAATGAGGATTTTGCAACTAAACTTCGCCCTTTTGCTCACGATGAATAAAACATTCGTCACAATTCAGAAGGGGTGGGTGGGCGGGGCTTATATTTGGCCATTTTTTCTTAATACCAATATGGGATTGATTATGAGTTATCAAACTTCAATGAAGAAGACAATGAAGACTGAAAAAATCACAGCTTATTGATGAATAATAATAATTAATGTTTAAATGAATTATTTTGAAATTTCCTGTTAATAAATTTATTTATTTTTTTTTTGCTTATCATAACATGCAAATAAACTACTATTTCATTAAATTGATTGTTTTTTTAAACCATAAATCTCTCGAGTACATCGAATAAATTATTTTTCATAATTCAACAACGGTTTGTTCATAATTTTCATTACGAGTTCCAATGAATTCACATTTAATTATGCTATAATTACCATTATAATTAAGCGTGGAAATTTTACTTAATTATTACTGAAGACCTATTAGACTATTAATAATATATATTTTATAAAACTATGTTGTAAAACTATCTAATAATCACGCTTGCGCTCATACATGCGACTCTTTGTGTGTGCCTAGGGGAATTTTTGGCCCCTCTGAATGGTCTGGCTGCTTACAAAAATTATTGAAATAGTTCCCCGAATGTCATATATAAAAATCAAGACTGAGATTATAAGTAAAGTTACATTATTTTTTTGGGAGGTTTAAAGCGCCTGGTAAAAGTTGCCGCCGGCGAAAAGTGTCTGGCAGTATTAATTATTAATTTTCAGCAATATTTTCTAAAACAACCCTAAAAATCAGTACTGAAACTTTGAGAAATGTAAGTACTGTTGCATGCATAAACTCAAGGTATATACCAATACTACTTTATCCTACAAATTTTTTTTGTGAGAAAATAAGTGACGTCTGAGGGCCCTGGGATCTTGGAATATAGGAAATCGTAAAATTACAGAAATCTGTAAAGCAATGTACTTGCTAACATTTTAATAAACACTGTCCTATTCCATTTTATTCTATTCTGCACCTTGGCGAACTTGATCTCTGCTCGCGTGGGTTCGAATCCCATCCCCCTCGATATTTTTTTTTTCGATCACATTGAATTTCTTTGAATGTTTTACTTCACGTGCTAGGAGTTCTGTCTAAATTTTTTGGATCAATTTTTTTGTTGAGTGAACAGTTTTACAAGTTGTTTTTGTGACTTATGTATACGTGCGGCCTGAAACAATATGACATGTTTTATGTCTACTTATACTCTTTCAGACTGTATTTAAAGCAGACATGGAATAAATATTTACAAATAACGAATTTATCATCTGAAAAGTCCATTAACATCAAGGTCAAAAAATATATAAATCTAAGCACTTGCACGTTCTCGCAATACTCATAAGCTATTACATTAAACCATGCATATGTTAGTTTAAGATTTTTCTGAACGTCTTAAATGCATTTAAACTATAAAAGCGATATTATTATAAAATGTTTTCTAAAACTCGTAAAATGCTTTCTTGTGATTTCCGTTAGTCGGTGGCTCTTCCATTTGATACCCTAGATTTTTTATTCCTCAGTAATAAATCTTCCAGAGGTTTTTATCCCTTTGACGCAAACAATCGACTACATTGTTTACAAAATCGTTCTTACCGCCAGCATGTAAAATAATAAAAGCGTTATTCATCATAATACTCCGTAAGTCTTTTGACATTTTTAACGTTGACATCCCACGCCGTAACTTCGTTTCGTCTCCTCATACTCTCCACTTTTATAGAACCAGCTTCCATTAAACGGCACGGAAAGCCTCCCACTATTTTCATTTTAACATATTTGAAAAATATCCTTTTCAGACGTTCCGCTCGTTTCTCTGGAATTGGGCAGCACACTAAACGGCAGTACCATCAAAGAAGGAGTGGATGTCTACTTTGAATGCAACATCAAGTCCAACCCGTGGGTATACAAAGTCAGTTGGAGGCATAATGTGAGTGTCATATCTGCATAGTGAAAATAGAGTTTCAATGATAACCAATTGTTGCAGGGCAAACAGTTGTACAATAATGCACAAGCAAACACAATTGTCAGCAATCAGAGTTTGGTACTTCAATCGATTACGAAAGCTCGATCTGGCCATTACACCTGCGTCGGACACAATCAGGAAGGGGATGGTGAAAGCAATCCGGTCCAGCTTGATGTGAAATGTGAGTTTAGGAATTAATTTTACCTTTAGTTTTAGACTGTTTTCAATCGGTTTCTGGAAATCTATAAGCAGAGTTGCTTTTAATAAAAAAACAGGACGCAAAACGTTTGTAACGTTGAATCACTTTAATTATAACATTAATATGTTGAGTGAAATAAGTATACTCTTTTCGATATAACGGTGTAATTATGACTTTTTGCTTTGATCGTGGCTACATAAAATTAGAGAACCGTTTCCGAGGTATTCGAAAAAAACAACCAGTCCTCGCATAAATTTGTAAGACGTCTTATCTATGGATTCTAAAAAATCGATTGAGCACATTACCCTATAACTGACAAAGTCGTAACTTAGGACGAAGCTTCCAATAAAGATTTATTTTATAATTCTCTTGAGCTGATGCCATTAACTTGCTGGAGACAATGAAAAACAAATTTTAGTTAATGGTGTGTAATCCTTAAATCAATATTAATGCCGTGCAAAATTTTCAAATTTTTTTCTTACCCTCACTGTCTCCTTTTAGCCTTTTGGGGAAAAAGAGAATGAAAGTGAAACGAATAGCAGTTGAGATGTAAGTGGAAGGGAATTTCGTGCTTGGGTTTAGTTTTTTTGTGTAAATTTTTCTACCTGAGTTCTGAACGAGAGATCTTCAAATTACTATGCTCATTTCTGATCTACTTAGATTTTCGGTAAATGTGGTAATATAGTAACAAGCACTAGGTTTGTCTTTGAACTTGAGTCCCAGAGTAGTATGCGGATATTCCAAAAATTAAAGAGGTCAAACGATTTTATGATGTTCCATTTTAATTGTGCAAACGTCTTCTCATCTGAACATTTGTTTATCTAACTAGGTAGCACTACACCGGTACTACTTCCACGCTCAAATTTTTAAACTTATCACGTCCTCTGAATAACCGCGATATCGCCTCCCAATTTTGGCTCTAGTTGGCGCTGCGTTTTATTAAGTTTAAAGTGAGCGTGCAACAATATTTGGAACATCATAAAATCGTTTGACCTGTTTAATTGTACAAACGTCTTCTCATTTGAACATCAACGTAAACTAAATAGAAGATAACATACAAGAGTTGATGTAAATGATACAAAGCATGGGTAACACAATAAACGAAATGTCCACTGAAATTAGAAAAGGAGAAAGGAACAAAGAGAACACAGGGAAGAAGTGAAGAGCTTAGAGCGGAAAATAAGAAACTAGAAAAAGAAAATAGGAAAATGAAGAAAACTATAAATGGGTTAGAAAACAGGCTAGAACGATCGGAAAATGAAAAAAGAAAAAACAACGTGGTGTTGCAAGGACTAAAAATAGACACTGATGACCGAGAAGAGTAAAAAAAAGGCGCAGAAAGCTTTATAGATAAGTCATTAAATGTAAATGTAGAAATTAAGAGCGTTCCGAAGTTAGGGGAAAAGCATGTTTAATCAAATTGGCAAAATATGACGACAAGATAAAAGTAATACGGAGCAAAAACAAATTAAGTACGAAAACAGGGGAAAGGATATTTAATCAAGATGATTTATCAAAAAAAAATTAAGAAATACAAAAGCAAATTATAATAAAAGCAAAAAAAGAAAGAGAAAACGGGCAAGTCACTAAAATAAGGTATAAAAAACTGTTGATAGGAACTGAAGAGTGGAAATGGGACAACGAAAAAGAAAACCTGATAAAAACGAATTCCATAAAACTAAAGAATGAAAATACTCAAGTCAGCAACAAAGGAAATGGACCAGGCAATGAATACGGCAACGAATATGGTAACAAGCAATAAAAAAAAAGACGAGAAATAAAGAATAGAAGAATGAAACAAAAACAAAATATTATACTCACAGGAACATGGAATGTAAGAGGTATTTATGAAGAAGGAGCTATCAAGAACCTTATTAAGGAAATCAAAAGATATAAAATAGAATTAATAGACGGAATACAAGAAATTGACAAGTACAATCTCTGCAGCCAGACAGTTTGGAACAGGTTTTATAGGGCGGCAGAGGCTTAAAGGAAAAATAATAGACTTTATGCAGATATCAGATAGGATCTGTGAGATAATGCTAAAAGGACAAAACCAAAATTTTTTCGTTCTAAATATACATGCATAAAGGATACATTCTATGAAGAAATGGACAGAGTTATCGACAAAACACCAAAAAAAGATATCATAATTATAATGAGAGACGCAAATGCAAAAGTAGAGGGAGAAAAAATATAGAAAGAAATAGTAAGAAAACACAATAAACATGAAGAATCAAACAACAATGGTCTGGGATTAATCGAATTGGCTGTAGAAAGAAATATGAAAATAATAAGTACGCAATTTCAACGAAAAGATATGCACAAGGGAACATGGATCATTTCAGGAAGACAAGAAAGAAATCAGATTGATCATGTACTGATCCAAGAAAAACACTTTATGTTGATAACATCAGTGAAAACCTGTCGAGGGACCGACACAGATTCAAACTACGTTTTGGTAAGGGCAAAGCTAAAGCAATGGAAAGGGGAAGACAAAGAACACAGAAGAAATCACGAAGTAAGATATAATACAGAAGAATTGCAAGCACAGGAAATCAAAACAAAATATGAAGCAAACAGAAAGAAACCTCGAAAAACAAGATCTTTCAAAAGAAAAAAAACATAAAAACCAAATGGAACAATATAGAACGAATAGTAACAGAAGCGACAAAAAGACATGTGAGTAAACCAAAGCAAGATAAAGGAAAAAATGGTTAGACGAAGAATGCGAGGCCAAAATAAAACATAAAAAGTTACTCAGAATGAAAATGTTGCAGATAAGAAACGAAGAAAATACAAAGAATTATAGCAGTCAAAGAAAGATAGCTAAGCAAATATGTCGCAGGAAAAAAGGGATTTTTTTAAAAAGACAAATAAAAACTATAGAGGAAGCATACCAGAAGAAAGAGATAAGAAACTTTTATAAAGACGTGCAGAACGTAAAGTCAACAAAGCACGAATCTATCAAATATATAAAAGATATATAAGGCAACTTAATAGGCGACAATGAAGGAAAATTAAGAAGATGGAAACAGTACTTCGAACAAATATTAAATCAGAGAAGGTCAAACAGAAGAGCATAAACAAGTATCAAAAAAAAGAACTTTAAGTAATGAAAGTATAGCAATGTTGGTAAGCGAAGAAAAATGTTACTTCTCCGATGGGAATTAAACCGCACGTTTACCGCTTGCCGGGCGGGTACCTTTACCACTGGACTACGGAGGAGCTTATCTATCTCAAAAAGGAATAAAAATAGAATTTGAAGAAGTAAAAATGTTTATGTACTTAGGGGTGTTGATAACCAACAAATGCCAAGAAGGCAATGAAATAGAACTGAGAATTGCCAAAAGTAACAACTGTGCACAGGAGGATTAGGAAAAATTATGAAAAGTAAAGAAATATCAAGGCAAAGAAAACTAAGAATATATAAAACCATAGTGAGACCAACCAAGTTAAAGTTCTTTACTTTCTTTTGTAAAAAGTTACAACTAACCTTAAAACTTTACCTTTACAATAATTTGCATAATAATAGAACTGCTATTAGTTTTTCGTGGAAATCTTTAATTATTATTATTTATTAGTGTTATGTAAAGATTAATATCAATAATTCGTGACTATTGTTACTATTTTATTCAAGCCGCACAACAGCATCAATAAGTTATTGTAAAAAATGTATGTTCTCGTTAAATAAATGAAATTTAATAACGAGCGATTATCTAAAATATTAACCATAGAGCTACTGAAAGTAATTAATTTTCAGTGTGCGTGGACGAAGAGGGTCGTTTGTCTTCTAACTAAGCGTATATACTTTAAAATAACTCGATTAATCAAGGATGCAAATTTTTGAATAAACTGCTTCTGATAAATAGTTAACTGTCACTTGTGATATTGATATTAGCATTAAGTTCTGTTTACTTTCTTAATGAAATTACGGATCCATCTTCCCTAAATTATTGTGTGTGAAACCGGTTTACCAGTTTTGCGGTCAAGTTATTAAATTACTTAAATTAGTTTCTGCCCACCGAACGACCAATACAATTCAGTATTAAGAAAAATAAATGATTTATCTGATAATCGAAGGAAACGCTAAACGGCAGTGTGATTTATGGCGAGTAATTTAGGCTAAAATTGGTTTTATTCTCTATATTTTCGTATTTGCAATTGGTTGTGAAGAGAAGGACTGAGAGAAGGACGAGTCACTATAAAAATCATTTTATTACCTTGGTAGACTACAGTGAAAAACTTTATAATGTTAAAAAATAAAAGATTGATAAAACACAAAGCAAAGATCTTTTAATGCTTGCGTTGGAAACTGTTCCAATTTCCTATCAAGTTGTTACGAATCAAAATATAATAACACAATAATAAATTGTTCCATTTTAACCGGAAAATAATTTTCCACTTTTTGATTGCGATTTTAATTATTCTTAACGAACAAGGCATTATTACAGAATTGTTTGTTCAAGAACAAAGGGTTGGTCCAGGGCTTTTATTTGCTAAATAAAACGTACATAAGTGAGCCCCAACTGTTCGTTGGAGTTTTCAGTGAAATCAAAGATAAAGTTCGGTCATAAATCAACAAATAAAGTGGAAGTTGTAATGTGTCTTGTGAATGCTCAAACTGCGAAATGTAACAGAAAATGGCGGTTACACATGCTACCGCTGGCGGCTTATTCCGGCCCGACGGAGGCAGTTGCCACCCCCTCGAATATCAATATTTGTATTATCAACTTCCTGCCGCTGAGAGGCGACGAGTCGCAACTTTATTTAGGAAAATTGTCATTGTAATGTTTCACTTTGTTTGGATGGAGGCAGTCAGGCGTTACATTCGAACGTTAATTACTTTTAGCGCCTTTGTAGGAATTTTTTGTGAAAGAGTTGAATCCTTACGTGACCTAATTACAAAGGTTTTAACTACCAGCAATGTCAAGACTGTACATAGATTTTTTAAGATAAAGTCTCCATTTTTCGTAGACCTGGGGCATCGTTCAAAAAAGCAGCGAAGTAAGTAAATATTTGCTGTTTTTATTTTCCGAGCATAGGCTAGGGACGTATTGTGTAATCGAGTACGAAAAAATAGGTCTCCCGTTTCCGTCTGTCGGTCTGTCTGTCTGGCTGTCGTCTGCGTCAATTTTTATTTAACAGATAACTTACTTCAAATATATACATATTATGTTATGCTTTTTTACCTGTGTTTTAAGAGTCCACAGGGGTAAAATTTTTCTAATAATCTCTATTTGTACCCCTGACTTCACACGCAAGTGAAGTCCTGTGTAAATAACTCTAGACCGATTTTTAAAAACTTGTAGAAAAAAACTACCCGCTTGGAAGTTTCTGGTAAAACAAGAGAAAAGTGCATATCTAGAATTTAAATACCTTATTGATTTAGCAATTTACCGACTACCGATCTGAAGTTACACTCATGGAAAATAATGTTAAAAGACAGATTGCTGAAAACATTAAAACATGCTTAACCGTATGCCACCAAACTGATACCCGTATCGATCTTGCCTTCAAACTACAGACATTAATCACATCTACTTAGCACAGTTGACATTGTAGCGACAATGTTACGTTGCACCAGAAGCACTTACGGTTTTATGTAGATTAGAGACAGGCTGGCGTTGTGAACTCCAATTGAGAAGATTACAACAACAAGACCTGGTTGCAAGCCAACATCCTTAAGCGCCACATAACCGCAGCAGAACCATGACAGAGTTATTAATTAGTAAAATTAAATTTAGATAAACTTACTGATAAACTGTGACCTCACAACTTTTGCCGAAATGGACAGAAAACTGGCGCTTGTACTATTTTTGAAAATAAGATGAAACGTAAAACATTAAAAGTCACCACTTCAATACATCGTCCCAGTAGAAGTCATGAACATTCTTTTTATTTTGATTAACGCTTGTCATTGTAGGGCGTGGTTCTAGATATCAATATTTCGAAGGAAAATATGAAAGCTTTATAAACGACTTTAATAGCAGACATTATGCTTTTTCATCCTACGTTATTTTTTATATCATGGATGAATTTATGTCAAGAGTGGTCGTATTGTGTACTCGATATCCACGTGGCACAAAATGAAATCCACTAAAAGCATAAACTGTAGTAGTCTTGGCGAAAAACTCAAGATCGATATTATAGCATTTATTTCGTTCTAAATAAGATTTTTTATGTGACATGTTCTAGATAGTAGTTGTTTACGAAAGCCTTAAATCACAACTCCACAAAACCGATTTCCAAACCCCTAAGAGGTTGTCCGTTCACATGTCCCAAAGAAAATGATGGATGTGTTTGTGTATTCTTACAATTCCAGGTATTTTTACTCACTCGGTAGTGATTTATTTGCTTGCCTTGCGTATATTAAACTTTTTCCCGTACAAAATTCCATTTTTTTTTTAATACTACCAACTTAGCATAAAACACTAATCTATTAGTTCCACGACCTTTTTCAACAAATGAGTTTCTGTGCCACATTAAAATGAACTTAACGTCATCAATCATGTATATGTGCGCGTCAGGCGAATTCTCGCCTTTTCGGAATCCTGTGTCATTTTTTTAATGGTCGTTTATTATAATTAATTTTGCCGCTTTTCTCCAGTTATTCCGACTTGTCGACCCGGCCAACCGAAAGTCTTCGGAGTTGCAAGACATGAGACGGCTCGAATTCTGTGCGAACTGGAGGCCAATCCGACAGATGTGCAGTTTATTTGGAAATTTAATAACTCTGCGGATACCGTCGATATTCCACAAAATCAAATTCATAGCGAAAGAACAAGAAGCACAGCGGCCTACAAGCCCATGACAGAACTGGATTATGGAACTTTGCTGTGCTGGGGAAGGAACGAAATTGGAATGCAGAAGGAACCGTGTATATTCTACATAAATCCGGCAGGTAAGTCATTCGCAAGTTTAATTCCAGTTATTGCGGTATTATTCTAATCTTCTTTTCCTTAAAAAAGGAAGTTTACGTATTTAAAGATAAATTATAAAAAGCAAACCGGAGCAAGTACTAATACCTGCCGACAAAAAATATTTGAATAATTGTCATTTCGTCTTCTAAAACAGAAATCGCTAAACAACATTTGTTCAAAGATCCTCGAACATAAATAAAATTACAATGAGTTTTTGACTAACAACACTAAACTAAACATTAAACCTGAAACTTACTTTAATGAAACGAATATTATGTAGGACATATACTGAATTATCATTAAGTAGCATACCAAATGCAAAAACCTTTGCCCCTAAACACGAAGACAAAATAAAAAGCATAGAACATATTACAGTAGCTACACAACATATATCGTTTACTATGACGTAATTCGAAAATTTGTTCAAGTAAGATCTTCGTTTATTTTACGGCCTGTGGTGCATCACTACGGAAGTACTAATTTTCTAACAATTTATTAAACAAAGTTTGAAATTATATTTAAAATCACTTTAGCAAGAAGAGTGAATATCGTCCTTTATTTAAATTATCTGTAACAAGTGTATACAATTTCTAACCTAAAATTTCGCAAAACTAATTAACTCTTTTATAGGCAGTTCTGATGGCATCGTACTTTCACCAACTTAATACCTTAACTTAATTAAAATTAACAAAAAATGTAGTTCGGACGCAAAATCATTTATTCCTCCGCGCAAGTTGAAGACCTTCTTAATGCTCAGCTACAAAAAAACCACTTTCCGAACTTTGAATTAAATCAAATTAAACGTTCTGGATCAATGCAAACATTTGAATATCACAAATTTTATAAAAACAAAGAAAAATCTGAATTAAAGTAACTGGATCCAAATACACAAGTTATTACGGAGGTGTGGCGGCAAACTCGTGTTTGGGTTTTGGATATCACGAAGCGTCATGCCATCCCGACCACCCCTGACTTCTATACAAAGCCTGCATCCTTTGTGCAGATGGCGCGATCGCCAGCTCGACCAGGAACCGCGAACTCCGCTGTCTCAACGTGTGTTATTTACCTTAATTTCGTAAATCCCGCCAGCTCGACTAGGAAACGAGCGCTCCGATTCTGCCACGTGTTTCTGTGTTATTTACCTCATTTTAAAGATTAAATTTCTATGACTTTGATATTAAACTACAACTGAACAAGTGTTAAAGTTTCAAGAGAGCATTGAACATCAGACAATTTATATGATGAAAGCATTAATTAACAAAATATTTACTAAACAAAAAATTAGCAAAGATTTACAAAAACAAAAATATCTGGTGTGAAATAAAACATGTGCAGACAAAAGAACAGGAACCGTAGAGCATGAAAATTTACGTTCAATTTAAGTTTACATCAAAGAAAATTACTGAACTTAAAATTGTGAGATAGAAAATTTTGTATGAGGTGAAAAATTTCAAAGCTAACAAAATACATGAGGTCAATATTTTATGTCCATTCGAGTTATTGGTTAATTTTTAAAAATGAAGTTATTCAGCTGCATTTTGGGTTATTGTTTTACATTCCCCAAAAAAACACAAATAAAACATAGCAGGCAATCTGGAGGTTCAAAATGGCGTCGGACGAATGCGTCAATCAGTGGCGGCTGGTGGGTCAAAATTTCGGGTCGGCCAAATATTTTGAGTCTACACCTTGGTGTTATATATTTTCGTAATGTATGGCTGCTACTCATTAACCACTGACATTTTACGTGCCAGGATGTACAAAACATCTCAAATGTTTCGACCTGTTAAAATAATTTTTTATAGGAAATTGACAATGTCAGTTTGATTCCAAATACTATTAATCCTTAATTCTACTTGTTCTGCTTTATCATTAATTGAGAACCACCGAAAACATTATTTTTACTGAGTTCCGCGTCGACCGGCGGCTATACGGCTTGCCGACCCCGGACATCCACAATTAAATAATAATAATTAAATAATGACATGCAGTTAAAAAATATAAAAAAAGTAATAATAAAAGTACCAACTGTTAACTATCTTCATTTACATTTATTTTTTTTTTAATGTATATGACAAATTGTCAAATAAATTAATTGAATAATTGAAAAATTAAAATGATTTAAAACTTTAAATTCGTTTCTGAAATATCTGAAAACGCTTAGATGCTAAAAATACAGAAAAAGCGCATTTATGTTGTAGCTAAGTTATGTACGAAAAATAAAATTTTAGATAATTTAATGTAATTTTTTTCGTTTATTATTCATACACAGAAAAATGTATTAAATCGACAATTATTATTAAAAAAAAATAGTGTGCACTGAAGAACATCGAAGCCGTTATTGTTTTGTAATTTGGTTAGCTATCTTAAATATTAAGCGTTTTAAAAACTAAATTCGCGTTGCTGGGTACGGCGAAGGAGGATTTCGCCGGACCTGGCACAACATACGTTCCGCCAGGTCTTTTGTCTACTACAGTGTACTAGACAAAGAGAACGATGAAACCGTAAGCTGCTACGAAGTCGAAACATCGAGTATAATGCATTCCTGGGTACGGCTTGCCGAAATCTCGCCGGCAAAGCGTGTTTATCAGCATTTAAAATTAGCAACAAATGCTTTATTTTGTACCTACAATATAATAAAATATATTTTTAATATATATGATCTATCCTAACGTACATTCAAACTTTATTTCTTTTTTTATTTTCTAATTTCAACGCTTACTAAGTATTTTAAAATGACTGGTACGGCGTGGCCGACCCTGCCGCCCCTGACCAGCCGCCCCTGGCGTCAATCCTGTGGCGCTGTGCAAATAATGGTCTAAATCAAAGGAATAAAATGCACGTCCCACATGACCCACAATGTTGTTAATTTGTTCAACGAGATTTTACATTTCAAACATGTGCTCGGTTTGAAAATACTCTTTCAACATGACCGCTGTCAGAACAAAGAATTTACCTGATGTTAAATTATGCCACACTTTATCAACCATTCAAACAAAGAGTTTGCGTTGTGTTAAATTATGCCATTATCCAAGTGATTAGTTACTTGAAACAATTAGCTTTGAGTGTTTATATCGTGGACTACCGTACCTTCACGGTCTTTTCTCAGAGTGGGGCAACGTTAGGTTGATTTAACTGCCGTTAGTGAACTATTAACAATCTTGTGGGTGGAATTAAGAAGTGTTATAATGTAACACTTAAGTATAAACATCCATAAATCATAATTTGGTAAACAATGGGGAATCCTGACTAAGTGAATTTCATGAAAACTCCTGCAAGTGCTCTATCTGAACAAATCTAATGTCCGTTAAATTGTGTTAGAACCAGTTAACGATTAGAATCCTAACATGAAGTGTGAATTTACAAAGAATAAAACAAATTTACACCACATAACGTCCAAACAATTCAACTTCAAAAGATCAGACTTTGAATATTTACTTATATGACACTCTTCTATCGATAAACTGGTGCACTATCTATAACTCAAATAATGTCAATGACCCATGTACTAAGCAGTTTTTATAAAATCCTGTATAAAATATTTAAAATTTGAGTTCCTACTTTTAAATTTGATAACTATGTTTCATATTCGTTTAACCAAGAATTAATTAACTGTATTCGCCAAAAAAAATGATATCCTATGTAAAAAAAAAAGAAACAGCTCGAGAATCCCAAGTTTTATTAAATATGAAAACTCTGAATGAAACTCTCCAGTTGATATTGTTAGTGACTTTAGCACGTTCTTCAGGAGCGTTTACATTGTATTAAATCCCAATAGCCCATTTCAATCCACTGGTCGAGAACTATCGATCTTATTAACTGTATAAGTTTCGCATACACCTGAAGACTAAATTCTCCGGCTTCTTCTACAACTTTGCCAGTTTTTGAGTCCACTTTGTTCAAAAGAATATATTCAAGTATAAAGTGTTATCTAACTCCTTTTCTGCACGATTTTTGTCGAAAAACAGATCAACGGTCAGCAACTTGGCTTAGTTTGCGCAATATACATCCGATGCTATTGACCACGTCTATACCGATTTTAATAAAGCCTTTAATGAGATTGGACACTCTGTTATTATAGAAGCTTGAATGCTTTGGCTTCACTAAACCCTTAATATTAAAATTAAAATTAAGTATTTTCTCGATTATGTCAGGCGTACCACAAGATTCGATACTGTTTTTGATCTTTATTAATGACTTTTTACATATGATTGAAACCTTTCCTCGAAGTAAAATCCCTAAGAGATTGCGTAAAACTACAAAATGATGTACATCTTTTCAGTAACTGGGGTTGCCACAATCGGCTACGTCTAAATAAAGATAAATGTTACATTGTTTTTGCGTTGGTGGTGTAATGATGATAACGATGATAACGGCCTAAGGGAAGAAATTATTTTAATCCCCCGTCAGTTCACGGTATGAATTTTGTTAATTTAACTCCCGTAAATGAACTATTAGCAATCTTGTGTGAAGAATTAAGAAGTGTTATAGTGTAACACCTACGTATATGTATCCAGAAATCTCATTCGTAACTTGTAAACAAAAGTGTTATCCTGACTAAGTGAATTTCATGAAATCTCCTAGTAAGAGTCTGTTTAAATAAATCTAATGTCTGTTAAATTGTGTTAGAAACAGTTAACGATTAAAACCCTAACCTGATCGGTGAATGAAGAAAAATGGACGCCGTCGGCATTACGATTGATTGTCGTTAAACAAAGGCTTCCTCCCTTTTATTAACTACCAAACCAACTAATTTAACCTAGCTACTTACAGCGTCCTTTTCATCATGCACCCACACGTCACCAACTCAAAAACAACAATGACGTATCACGCTTTCACCATGCTATTTGCCATGTCGTTCTCTTGTCAAAGCCAACTACCGCCCTCTAACTAAACATGCAGAACTATCAACTACCCCCAAGCGCTAACGTGCACATGGTTGCCTATGTTTAATTTTTGATTGAATTTTTTTTCTCAAATACAAATGATTCAAATATGATTTCGCGCCGCTGTTAATTAAATTCAGCGCGAAAATTTGTTTTCTTCACGCTGTATTTGTGGATTTTTCAAAAAGTGACACATTGTTTAAAAATTGTTCTGCAAATAAAATAAAAAGTATCTCGCTTACTTTGGGACTAACAATTCCAGAGTGGCAACACGAAGGAAAGCTTACTTTTATATATTATTCAAGTTAGCGTTGACCACATGCCGATACCTCAAGTAACAAAGGAATTGTTGCGTGGGGAATAAAATCTGGGACACCCAGCGTAGCGAAACCAATCAGCAAGGGCAATTTATAACAGCGAATTTACATTCCTGTGAGGCCTACGGCAGAAATACAGATAAATGTGATTTTTGCGTTTCAGGAAAGCCTGATGCCCTTTCGAACTGTACAATCCTTAATCAAACAGCGGAGTCATTGCACGTGGAATGTACGGAAGGCTTCGACGGTGGTTTGCAGCAAGAATTCATTATGGAAGTGTACGACACGCAGACACGCAAATTGGTGAGCAACGTCACGTCAAAAAATCCCATTTTCACTGTTGGTGGATTGGAATCCGGGCTAGGATTCGACATCGGGCTTTATGCCTCTAACAAGAAGGGAAGAAGCGATGTCTCCCATCTCCATGCTTTTACCCTCAAATCAGCGGAGAAACACACAGGTAAAACATTTTCTTGCACTCCCCGCACTAACTGCCATCCTTGTCCACTTGTTCGGAAAAACTTACACATGAAGAACGAATTTAAAACCGAATCCACATCAAAGTCAAATTTCTTTTCATTGGTTAACACCAGTTTCAGTCATAACGTTTTGTTTTTCGTTGTTTGTAGTTGCTAAAAGTAACAAACCATTTCCACCGGAAAACTGTACACTGGTTCACCAAAGTCAGTTCTATCTCAGGATAAAATGTCAAGTTCCAGAGAAAAAACGTGACATGCACGACACCTACGTCCTCCAGATCTTTCATGCGGAAAGCCGCATTTTAATCGGAACTGCCACGTCACAAACTCCTGACGATATCGTTTTTAGAAACTTGCCACAAAGATACGATGATTTATTACTTTTTGTTAGAACGAAGGATAAGAAGTCTTTAATGAGCGATGCAAATATTATTTACGCCCCTAAGAGCACTATGCGAAGTAATGGTAAGACATTCTCAAAGGAAATCGTGTGTCGGGTTTCTAAAACTTTGGTGTGGTGGTTTATATCATAACTTTAACCTCCCATTTAGAAATTAACTTTTTTCTTCTGCATGTGGTCTCGTAGGGAGAAAGATAGATCAAAATATTTCGTGTGTGGTTGTTGAGCGAAAATTAACCGACAACGTTATTAGTGTCACTTATCCAAAAGTACACATTTTAGTTGTTGCGTGTAAGTAACTGATTTGGTTTATGTCGTGTTTTATTAATCGTTGGCAAACAAATGAAAACTTTAAACCCAGCTCCATTTCCAGAAAAGTTCCTGGTTTAATCAATAAAGCAAATTGACTCATTTATTAATTTTTTTGAGTCATCCTGTATAAGCAATTCTAAAAAATATTAATGAAATGACAAGTAACAAGTATAGATCCACTAAATTTTGCACATTTAGATACGATTTATTCGTCAAAATTTGACTACCGGACCGACTGTTGACAAATTTTATATACTTATGTATTATGAATATCATGTAGATGGTAAAATGCTAATCAAACTTTGTCTAATCATCCTCACCACTAATAAAGAAAACTAGAAAAAAAGAGTTTAAAAAATGTCAGACTGAAGTAATCGACCGTGATTCTGTTCGATGGCGAGGAAGCAATGAGTTTCATTTGTACTAACGCTTTCGTTTAAATCAAATGGTTTTAAATGTTGCTTTGAATTTAAATTCTCCGTAATGTAAACGTTTAGAGACATAAAAACTTCTTTAAACTGTATGCAACTTTCAACATTTTCAATTTGAATTATTTGAATTTTCGCATTTTCTTCTACAGATTTAACTCCCACTAAATCCAGTTTACCTCGCAACACACAAACTTTGATGTATCTTTGCCTCTATAGTTAATATTAAATGAGACTTTCGATATCTGTTAAATTAAATTATCAACACTCAAACCCATTAGAAGTACATACGCAAATAATCTTTTGAATTAAAAGTAACTGCTGTCTCATGCTGGTAGTCCTTATGGTTGCTTTACTATATTTGTCACACAACCCCTCTACATAACAAATAAAATCTCTTCCAGCATCAACCCCAGCTTTGCTCCAAATAACACCGCTCCTCGGAGCTTTAATAGGAGTAGTGGCAGCTTTGATCCTTGTCGCCGTTGTAATAGTGGTGGTTATACGTCTGCGAGGTGGTGGCGAACGGGACGACAAAGACTATGACGACGGCGGTTTGTCATCATCGGGACGCCGCTGCGTTGCCGGAAACGGAGATAAAGCCAGCACGGAACCGTTAAACAAAGATCTTAACGATAGCGTTGACAGTTTGGAAGAGAAAAATCCAGATATCATCCCGCAGAACAACGGAGAAGATGACTATCAAGATGAAGAACGGGCCTTCGAAAGACTGAATAACGCGCCGTTGAGGGTCTACAGTAGGATGCACAGTCCAAACAATCAGGCGAAGAATGGTTGTTACGATCTGTATGGGACCAAGACGGTGAGACCAAATAATTGGATATTTGTTTTGCAGAGTAATTAACGTGTGCATGTAGCGAAAATTTTCGGAAAAAATTTGGCTCCAATTTTTCGATGTACATACAGCTGTTTCGAGTTAAATTTGCAACGATATCAAACTGTTGTTATATACAGTGACAAATAAAATTAAATGGTCACCAGATGTCAGTATCTGTTTGACAACATAGCTACAGAATGGTTTTTTATAAATTATGAGTAACTGCATCTTCAAAACGGAACTTTTTGGGATTTCTTGCCAATTTCATATAGACAAAAATAATAACTTATGTCAAAACTACTTTTGTCAGTCAATTACGAGCCGCCACTGCTTTTATTATTCTATGGCGGCTTTAAAAGTTAGGTCTGCCACTTTAAATGTTCCCGACTATACTTTGACCAGTACCTACGGAATACAATTTTTCTAACTAGTAATACTTTATCAGCAAACTACTGCAGGAGTGATGACAGTTAAATGGAATTTATAACTTGCTGTTGACGTTGAAGTTCCCGTTACAGTTGCCGTTCCCGCTGACGTTGCTTTTAAAGCTGAAAATTGTCATTTATAAGCTCCGTTGCCAAGTTGCCGTTGATAGTGACTTTGATGTTCAACTTTTGCCGTATTTAATGGGGTTGTAGAAGAAAAGTGGAGGATTTAAGTTGATGACTACAAAAATTTACAATTATTATGCTTTAAGTTTCTTTTTATCGAAATAAGTCTACACATATTAAGAGAAAAAGTCAAAATGTAGCCCCGCCCACCCGCCCTATCTCAATTGTGATGATTTTTTTTATTCGTCGTGAGCCCAGGGGGCGGAGCTTAACTGCAAAATCATTATTTCTCTACGAGGAATTAAAAACATGTTTTTGAGTATCGCGTTGTTCAAAGAATACTATATATATATATTAAGAAAAAAATAAAAGCAAAGATTAGGCCCCACCCATACCCGCCCCGATCTCAATTCTCAATTGTGATGGATTTTCCATTCGTTACCAAATCGAGGGGCGGGGCTTAATTACAAGATTCATATTTGTGTATTGAAAAGTGTACCATTTTAAACATGTTTTAAATTTCTTATTTTGAAATGACGACCACGTATATTAAGCAAAAAGGCAAAATATAGGTCCCCCCCACCCGCCCTATCTCAATTGTGATGATTTCATTTTAATCATTATTTCTCTACAAAAAATGCTCATATCAGACACATTTTTAAGTATCTTGTTATTCAAAGGATACTATGTATTTTAAGAAAAAATTAAAGCCAAAGATTAAGCCCCACCCATACCTGCCCTGATGTAAATGGTAATGAAGTTTTCATTCGTTTGCAGACCTAGAGGCGGAGCCTAATTGCAAAATCTATATTTCTTTGCAAAAACTTATCATTTTAAATGTGTTTTAAGTTTCTAAGAATAAAAAAAAAATCATGACAATTGAGATGGGGTGGGTGGGCGGGGTTTATATTGTGCTTTTTTTCTGAATACACATGGTATTCTTTGAACAACACGATACTCAAAAACATGTTTTCAATTTCTTGTAAAAAGAGTATTTTACAGTTAAGCTCCGCCCTCTTAGTTAACGGCGAATAAAAAAATCATCACAATTGAGATAGGGTGGGTGGGCGGGCTTATATTTTGTAGACTTATTTTCACAACATGAAACTTAAAACATGTTAAAAATGGAAAATTTGTATAAGGAAATACATATCGATGTTGTAATTAGGCTCTGCAGCGCTGGTTAGGGTCCGATCATCTAGTTATTATTGATTAGTGATTACCTACATCACTGTAAATCTATATCGACAAAGTGTAAAGATAATAATTCGTTTTATTCAAATGATAATCAAACTAGTCTAAATACTGCTTCCTATATCTGGAACTGATTGAAGGCGAAACACAGAAAGACACTTGACCTCTAAATGGACTTCTTGTGCCCACGGGGGTCAAATTATTTTGTTCAATTTTGATGTTTTAAAATTTCTTTATTAAATGCTTAGCAGCCCTGACAAACAAGTGAATTGTAAAATTTTTTATTCACTCTCAAATTTGTAATCACTTACAGAAAAAATAAAAAACAAGTTCAGGAACATAAACGTCTTGCTTATCAAGATTTTCATTTCTTTTTTAGCAGTTATCATAGAATACCTACAAGTTGTTTACAATTTTCACTGAACCTCTGCGTCAATAAATCATGCCCACCGCAAAATTGATTCTTTGGGTTCAATTTTTGCAAAATAAATTTTTGAATTCGTGTAGGTTTATTCACTCGAACAAATATCCCACGTGCCATGGGGCATGTGAGCTAATCCTTCTTCTCCGTAAATAAAAAGATACTTACTCACTTGGTGCATGATACCGTGTGATCAGAAATGATTGATAGACATTTTTTTATGATTATTTTATGTTTCAAGTACTAGATACGTAAATTTAACGAGTTTTCTTAATTTGCCCATAATTTTCTAAACTTTAACGCTTACTAGTAAAATTACCACACTTTTCTTGTTATTATTTGTTTATTTAAATACTTTCACCTTGTTTAGGTATTTTATTGATTAAAAATCCTTCTAATGTTTAGTGGTACAATTTGTCTGCTGGCTATATTGATGTGTAACCACAACCACACCAAATTAATAAATCATTCATTGGGTTTTAGATAAATTAGTTTAAAGTATCAGTATTCAATTATTTTGAGTTAGGCTTTATCCGACATTCCTATAAAGAAATAAAAAAGAGTGCGTCGACCCAGGGACGCACGAATGGAGTTTTAACTCTACGTTGTCAATTTATATAAATTAAACACGTATACGCGGCGAAGTCATTAAATTTCTCTTAAAAAATAATAAAAACCAAAAATATGTTAATATATAATTAAAGTAAATTGTCATTTTTGTTTATTATAAAATATACTTTTTTATTTATAGAAATATCATAATTCAGTATTAGAATAATATTGTATACAAAAAAATTAAAGTACAATGTGTAATTTACCAACTAAAGTAACAAGTACAATATCTTTATCTCTATCATTCAACACAGTTATTGGTGCCTATGGTAACTAAATGAGTGATATAAATATCAGTTCTTAAGTGAGTAATAAACTGTGTGAAAACGGCATCAATTATTGTACCTAATCTAGTCGTTGGAACAGTCAAACGAACACATTTTATTTAATAATAGTCTCTCTCTTTCTTTCTATAGCGCGGCTTTACATGCCTATGTTCAGACTCAGTTCAGAACGGTGTCGGTGTTGGTGTCGGTGTCCAACTCGACATCCTATTTCGGCGCTCGTCGTATACGGGTTCTATAATACGAAAAGAAAGTAGTTAAAGCTCCAAAAGAAAAAGTCACACCTCTATAATCTAGAAAAATTTCAAATTTTTGTTTCTAATTTTTCATTCGTTTTGTAGCAAGTCTTAACAATTTTCTATTTTTTGGAGACTAAAATCCAAACTTTTTTTTCACATTCAAAAAATAGATATTTTTTAAGTTATCCGTCTTTTCTACTTTTAACTTAGTCTACCTAGCAACAACCGGTTCATATAAGAGGCTTAATTTTCCCATTTCAATGAATTTAGTCTTAAACTGCTAAGTAAGTGTAATAAGTAATAACAACCAGCAACACAAATCGATCGTCTTCATAAATTGTATAGATATTTGACCTACACAAACAGTTTTCCCAAACTACGATATTTCACTCTTTAGTCGCACCGTTCATCGTGTATGGCATGTATAGGACAACTTTCTTTCGTTACAAATTTATTTCTGTCTGCTTAATGCCAGCATTAAACTGAAACTTTCTTTTTCCGCCATTCATGTCTTTATTCTTTCGGCTTTCTTTCCAATACAGCATCAATCCTATTTTTCAGAACGATGAAATAACATATGCTGAATTGTCTCTCACAAATCAACAGATGCCGCATGTCATCTATAATCAACAAGCCATCCCCATGTCTGTAATACGGCGCCAAGAACCCACGGTATACGCTCAAATCGACATGAAACGCATTCCTCAATGTCTGCAGCCTCTAAGTCCGCCTCATCCTTCGTCTTTCCAAACTTTGCATCATCCGCATCTTCCCGCTTACATTCCGAGACCTCTTCGGGAAGAGCAACTAATGCATGAAAACGCCGTCAATGCTGAAACGCCTTTGATGAGTCCTCGAGACACTAGTGTAAGTACAGTTTTGGATCAGTTGCAGAAACATCCACCAGTTTGTGCCACATAAGTGTTACGAAACAATGTTGTAACAATCGTCAAACTTATTCGGTGTAACTTCACTTGCTAATATAGTTTAAGAATCTAGAATTTAAATGTCCCGCTCTTTTCAATGCACTTGATGTGACACAAAATGGCAAGTCCTAGAGTAAGTAAATAACCACCCACAAATCACTCGAACTTATAGATTTCTGTTCAGCAGGCTTTACAACCGCTGCTGGAGGCCAATAGCACAAGAACACCAACGATGAGCTCTACGCAGCCACGGACAGTGACTGCGACTCGCTTTTGACCTAATTAATGATTCGGCAGAACTGACATATTTATAAATCAAAAAGACATAATAAAGTTTGTTATTACCTTATGACTACGAACTCAAACGTGAGTGTTACTTTACTGTGAGTGTGTGATGTGTGTTAAAAGTTTATAAATAAAATGGAAAGAAGCTTATGAAAACTAGAGGTTTTAAATCTACGTTGGTTTTCTATTGGAAGAATATTTTGATATTTTTATAGTACTGAATACTTATATTAGTACGTTAATAAAGAAATGTTGCTTTGTTATTTTTATTACGCATTGTTTTTGGACCATACTTTTATTTAATAAAATATATATGTCATCAAAAATTTGATAAGTGTAAAAACTACTAACCGAATGTTACGAAAACATCTAAATCCGAATTTTTCAACATTATTCGCGTGTAAATAAACTTTTATAGCTGTGACAACAAATCAATTAATTAATAAAATGTGTTATTAAATATTTTATTAGTGTATAACTTTTTTATAGAACTGTTATTCCAAATATAACCTGTTTGTTGTCCTTAAGAAATTATTGAACGATATGGTACGTATTGTTGTGATTTCTTTAAAAGAATGAATATCTTTTACGTTTTGTGATATTTTTTTTAGTTTATTTTAAATACTGCCATAATAAATGTAACTATTTTAGATATTAAGTATCTGTTTGTAACCAGGAAAATTGGATATACCGTCCAATCGACTAACTGTGTAAAGAAAACTTCAACGAAGTTTTGCATTTTGTACTACTTTTAAAATAGCTTAGTAAAAGACATTAATGTAAACTTATTTCAGTCCAGTACAGCTTTTTTGTACATATGTATATAAATTGCTCAATTTTGATTGTTTATTTTCCATAAACATCGTAAAATGGCCAAAATATCCGTTAAAAATATGTGTTGTAAATTAATTACCTCATCTGTATTAATATATTGACAATAACATATATGTTTATTTTAATAATTTAAAATTGTTTTTCGTTAATGAGTATACTGGATATGTAAAAATGAAATCAAAGTGGCCTTGTCGAACTTAAGTACATTTATTTAAACGGTTCATGTAGTGTTACTATAAATTTTTTGGATATGTATATAATATATTATGTGTTATATCATATATGTAATTAATTATTCATGAATTGTCTAAAAATATAATTAATTCAACTTAAAATAATTGTATTGAGTGGTGACCTTTATTTCAGTTATCATATTCAACAAACGTTGTTTGAGATTGTTTGGTTGGTATTAATTTTTAAAAACAAATTGCTACTAGCTGAAAGTCCAAAAATTAAAAAGAAAATTTAATACACGATATGTGAAAGCTTCAAGCAATCTGATACAACCTTAGATGCCCTTCAACTAATATACAATACAATACATTGATATGTGTACCTAAATTTTGCAAAAAGTGAATATATAAATATGCAGTTGTCCTCACTCTTAAAAATAGAATAGTTATTTATGTTAAGATAGTATATTCTATTCAAAAGGGAAACCGAGGAGGATTATTTAGTGCACACAGTAACAAAAATCCGACGATATTGAAGGATATCGGAAAATACCAAAGAAATAACTTCTTTTCAGTTAGAACATCGTTTGTTCTATTTCTTTAGTGGTGTTAATGCTAGGCACATCAAATATTGTCTATATTTTTGTAAAATATTTTACGACAATTTAAATAAATTGCAGTTTTACCAAAAAACAGGCTTAAACAAGCAAAACCGGAAAAACGAATACAATAAACTGCCAAATTTTAAATATTTCAGTTATGCGCCCTCATGCGGTCACAAGACGAACGACCACGTATGAAAACGGATCACTAAAAATATCGAGTTGTCCCTAGTGTATGTACTGTGCCTGGCTTGTGATAGGCAACCAGCAATACACGGCCTAACCAGCAATAAAAACACAGAAGATATAGAATGGAGTTTTACAGAAACAGATCACTAACTAGGCAACAACAGTGGAACGTTTCTTTTGTCAACAGAGGGTACAACTAGCGGCAGCGCCAGATACTACGTAAAATAGAAATCAAAGTGGGCTGTAATGCGTGTCCCAGGTTTGTGTCTACGCTTACGTACCGGGTACATGATAAGAGATGGCACTGGAGTATTTTGTCGAAAAAGCACTTGGCGACAACTTAGAAGGTCAATTTTAAATCACAATACAAAAAACGAAAGGGTGTATTTAAATCTTCTGGTCATAAACAATTTTCGAACTAAGCTATCAAAATTTTGGGTGATATGTATTTTGTCGATGAGGTCGGAAAAATGGTGGTAGCTCCGTTAGTAAAAAAAAATATACACATATACTTGTACTGTGCGAACCCGCTTTCATCTTTTACGCTAAACGTTCAAATTTTCGCAAAAACCTTTGCAAGGTATAATAAGGTAATAATGTTGATGACGTCAACTTTCTCAAATTTTTTATTGGTCAAATTAAGAACAAGTAACCCCATTTTCTCGAAAATGTGAATAATACGTACGTCTTAGTACATAAATAACAATGATAAAATAAGAATTATAATATTCAGAACATTTTGTTCGATTATGGTTTAATTAATAATAATTTTAGCCCTGTTTTTGAGAAGACAAACTGATTCAAATCAAACTAATTTCTACGTGAGATTCTTTCGATGTATAAATATAAGTAAAGACTTGAGCTTCAGATTGCTATTACCTGGTGCCGAATGACAAGGGGTGTTATTTATGCCTCTGCTTTTTACTTTACAGCAGTTAACAGAAAACGAAGATCGTAAAATCAAATTTTATAATTTTTTTAAAGGGCTGGATTTGTCGGATTATACTTATAGCCTGCGACTAACTTTTTATTGATCAAATTAAGAACCTCATTTTTTAAAAAATACGAGAATACCCAGGTTTTTATTTAATTATGATCACATAAGCGTAGTAATAATCAAAATCAAAACATTTTATTTCATTGTGGCTTAATTAATAATTTTAGTATTCTGTTTTCAGGAGACAACTCATTCAAATTAAATAAGTTTCTACGTGACATTCTTTCGATCTATAGACATAAACAATCGAAGTTAAGCATATACATATACTGATAATAATTCACTGTTTTCCGTTGGTTATTTGCTTTTAATACATTTCATATTGTCTGTATAACTGCAGACGGCACCTCTTAAGAATTTGCAGGAGGTTCGAAAGTTCATTTATACCACTGGTTTTTACTATATAGAGGTTATCAGAAAACACAAATTTTCTATAAATCGTCGCCTGAGAACTTGTTTGATCCACAGACTGGAGCACGCTCAGGCCAATATCGACTCTAAGCGTTTAGAATTTCTGCGGGAAATAGTTATTATTTAGATGCTTTTGTTTACACACATCTCACATGTTTCACTCGATTTTGACATGCAACTATTGTTTGTGTTTAACTAAGAATTAATTCTTTAATTTTAAATTGACAATCGGATAATTGAAAAATCGAAACATCGAAAAATTGAAATATAGGAGAACTGAATATTCAAGAAATCGAAAAACCTAAAGTTTTATAAATTAAAAAGTCAAAATATCGAAATGTTGAAAAATTGAGAAATCGAAGTATAAAACAGTCGAAAAACTGAAAATCTAAAGTTTAATAAACGAAAAATTTAAAATTCAAAACGTAAAAATCGAAAAATTGAAAAATCCAGAATTCGAAAAATCGAAAAGTCGAAATACTTACTAAAAAATTGCAAAACTGAAGTATCGAAACATTGAAAAATAGAAGAATCGAAAAACTGAACGAAATATCCAAAAATTAGGAAATTAAAAAATTCAAAAATTGATAAATCGAAAAGTAAAAAAATTTAGAAACGTCAAACATTGAAAAATTGAAAAATTTAAATATCGAGAAATTGAATACCTAGTAGAAAAATTGAAAAGTCATTACACTGAGACATCGAAAAATTCACAAATCAAAAAATGCGAAAGTCCAAAAATCCAAGTCGAAAAATTGAAAAATGGAAAAATCAAAAAGTCAAAAAAATTGAAAAGTTAAAATATCGAAATGTTGAAAAATTGAACAAAATAGAAGAAAAATTGAAGAATCGAAAAACTGAAAAATCACAAAATTGAACGAAACATCCAAAATTGGGCAATTAAAGAATTTAAAATTCGGTAATCGAAAAATCAAAAAAGCATAATCGAAAAATCGCAAACTTAAAAAACTGAAAAATTGAAAAATCAAAAACCTGAAAAATTGAGGAACTGAGGAACTAAGAACTGGAAACTTTGGGAAGTCGAGAAATGGGAAAATAAAAAAATAGATTAATTGAGAAATCGGAAAATTGAAAATTCAGAAACGTCAGAATTTGAAAAATTAAAAATATTGAAGAACTGAAAAATAGAAAAATCTAAAAATCTAAAACCTGAAACATTGAAAAATTAAAACATCGAAAAATACAAAAACTGAGACATCGAGAACTCAAAAAATCAAAATATCGAGTAGTCGAAAAACGAAAAATTGAGAAACCGAAATGGGCCAAAATCGAAAAGTTAAAAATCGAAAAATTGATAAATCGAGATTGAATAATCAGAACATCGAAAAATTTAAAAATTCGGAAAATTGAATAATTATGTAGAACTGAAAACTCGAGAAATTAAAAAATCTAGAATTTCAAAAATTGAAAAATTAAAATATCGAAAAGTTGAAAAATTGAGAAATCGAAATATAAAACAGTCGAAAAATTTAAAGATCTAGTGTTTAAAAAACGAAAAACTGAAAATCCGAAAAATAAAACATTGGAAAATCCGGAAGTCGACGAATCAGAATATTGGAAAATTCCAAAACTGAAAGAAATATTCAAAAATTGAGAAATTAAAAAAGGGAAGATTGAGAAATCGGAAAACCACAAAGCAGTCGAAAAATCGGAGAATTGAAGAACTGAAAAATTTAAGTTCGAGAAGTCGAGAAATGGGAAAATCAAAAATAGATTAATTTAAAAATCGGAAATCTGAAAATTTAGCAACGTCAAACTTTGAAAAATCCAAAATTCAGAAATCGAAAAATTTAAAATTTAAACCATTGACCAATCAAAATATCACAAAATTAAAAAATGGAGAAATCCAAACATCAAAAATTCAAAAAATAAAAATTCGAAAATCTAAAATTGAAAAATCGACAAATCCAGAATTTAAAAAATTGAAAAATTGAAAAATCAGATAACTGAAAAATCGAAACATCGAAAAATTGGAAAATTGAAACATTGAAAAGTGAGACATCTAGAAATCGAAAATCCAGAAGATTCAAGAATGAAGGAACCCGAGAAGAAAAGTAAAAACTTGAAAAATTATATAAATCGAGAAATTGAACAATCAAAACATGGAAACATCTGAATTCGATAAATCGAGAAATCAAAAAATTGAAAAATTGAAAAATTTTAAGAAAGAAAAATTTGAAAATTCGGAAAATTGAAAAATTGAAATATAGAAGAACTAAAAACTCGAAAAATCGAAAAACCTACAAATTTAAAAATTGAAAAATTAAAACATTGAAAAGTTGAAAAATCGAAAAACTGAAAAATTCCAAAACTGAATGAAATATCCAAAAAATTGAGAACTTAAAAAATTTGGAAAAGTTGGAAATCGAAAAACGAAAAAAAAACGAAGTCGGAAAACCGTAAGCTTAAACATTCGCAAAAATTGAAAAATCAAACAACCTGAAAACTCCGAAAAACTGAAGAATTGAAAAAATCAAAACTTTGGGAACTCAAGAAATCGGAAAATTAAAAACGATTAGTTCAGAAATCGGAAAACTGAAAATTTAGGAACGTCAATATTTGAAAAATTATCTTTTTCTTTTTCAAAAAAAAAACAATTTGAAAATTGAGAAATCGAAAAATAAAATATTCAGAAATCGAAAAGTCGTAAAGTCTCAATAGCATATTTATAAACCACAAGTTCAAGACTACACTAATTTTTAATATCTATTCGGAAAAATTGTAAGATTATGACTAACGATTTAACATGCTTCCAATAACTATAAATTGGAAAATGTTGTTGATTTTTTTCCAAAAATCTTGACGACCAAGATAAGAACTCAACACCGATTCAAAAACCGTAAACGGAG